CCCCCCCCCCCCAGTTCTGCGGGGTGCGGAGGCTGCTGCTCCTGTGCTGGGGTGCTGGGGGGGTCACTGTGTCCTCCCCCCCAGCCCAGCGGGACCCTGTCCTGGGGTGCTGGGGGGTCACTGAGTCCTTCCCAGCCCCGTGGGACCCTGTCCTGGGGTGCTGGGGGGTCACTGAGTTCCCCCCAAGACCCGCGGAACCCTCCCCTGGGGTGCTGGGGGGTCACTGTGTCCTCCCCCCAACCCCGTTCCTCCTGTCCCGGGGTGCTGGGGGGTCACTGTCCGCCCCCAACCCCTCGGGACCCTGCCCAGGGGTGCTGGGGGGGTCACTGTGTCCTCCCCCCAACCCCGTTCCTCCTGTCCCGGGGTGCTGGGGGGTCACTGTCCGCCCCCAACCCCTCGGGACCCTGCCCAGGGGTGCTGGGGGGGTCACTGTGTCCTCCCCCAGACCCGCGGGACCTCGATCCTCTTGTCCTGGGGTGCTGGGGGGCTCACCGTGTCCCCCCCAGCCCCACAGGACCCCACTCCCCCTGTCCCGAGGTTTTTTTGGGGGTCACCGTGTCCCCCCCAGCTCCACAGGACCCCGCTCCCCCTGTCCCGAGGTTTTTTGGGGTCACTGAGACCCCGCCAGCTCCACAGGACCCCGGTACCCCTGTCCCGAGGTTTTTTTGGGGTCACCGTGTCCCCCCCAGCCCCGCGGGGTGCGGACCCCAGCCCCGGCTGTTGTGGGGTCGGTGCCAGCCCCTCTCACCCCCTGCCCGGGGTTTTGGGGGGGGGATCCGTGCTGTGGGGACCCCCCTCACCCTGCCCGGGGTTCTGGGGGGTCACCGCTGTCACCCCCCCGTTGAGGGGTCACTCGGGGCTGTCCCCAGCGCGCTCCTTTGTCCTTGTCGCAGTACCTGGAGCGGCGCTTCAGCCGGAGCGTGAGGCTGTGCGGGACCGTGCAGTACGTGCTGGCCACGGTGCCTGCCCAGGGCTTGGGGACAGCGGGGGACAGCGGGGGACATCGGGGGGACATCGGGGGATATCGCGGGGACACCTCGGGGATATCCTGGGGACACCGCGGGGACATCGCGGGGACACTTCGGGGACACCTCGGGGACACTTCGGGGACACCGCGGGGAGCCCGGAGCGGCGCTGCCCCGTGTTTTGCCTGGCTCGCAGCGAGCGGAGCGCGGCGGGAGCGCTGCTTGCCGTGAAAACCGCCGTGTTTGCTCAGCGCTGTCCCCCCCGCCGTGTCACCCCCTCT